CTTTCGGTCACTACCCACAGCTTGTGACCATAGGTGAGGGAAGGGACGTAGATCAACCGGTAAATTGAGAGCTTCACTTTTATACTCAGCTCTTTCTTCACCACGACAGACCGCTACAGCGTCTGCCTCACTGCAGCCGTAACACCAAACCGTCTGTCGATCTCCTGCTCCCTTCTTCCGTCATTCGTAACCAAGACCGTGACATACTTAAACACCATTTTGGATTTCGCTCAACTTATCTTCGTCTAATATAAAATTTTAAACATGCCATTGTGACAAATATTCAAAAAATAATAAATCAGTAAGTGTGCTAAAACTTTTTCACATCATTTCAGCTGAACAAAAACTCATTTAATGCTGTTGTGAGTGGAAGTATATCCCAGGCTGGTGCTCACCTGTACATCTCACACTCTTTGCTGTAAGGATGGTTGATGTCGTTGAGCCTCTCGGGAGAGTAGTAGCACAGGGACCTGATTGCGTCGTCATTTGTAGATTTCTTCACCTTTTCCAGAGACGTCTCTGTTTTTGCCAGCTCAAAACCTCCGAGCTAAAAAGAACAACAACATCATCAGTGCTGCTGTTGTTCAATTTGGACTGCAAGGAATCCCAGCATGCACTGCCCTCAGTACCTTGACGGTGTAGCCTTCAGCCACCAAGAACTTGCTGCTGTTGATGCACCCGTGCACCTTAGATTTTTCTTCTGTATTGTGTAGTCTAAAATATGACAGTTAAAAACATTAGTGCATAAACTACACATTCTCATCTCAGGCTCAGCGACTCACCTGCTGTTTGGATACTTTATAATATATTATAATAATTATTTATAATATAATAATTTGTCAATAAAGCAGAAACACTGACCGATAGAGTCCTTGTGCTGCATCGAAACACATACGAGCTTTCCTGATCCAGGACAGCTTGCAGTCAGAGTCCAGAACCTGACGAAGACTTCCTTTCTCGCAGTACTCCATGATGATGAAGAACTGAGGGTTGGGTCCTACAGGTAGTCATAAGGACAAGTAATTACAAGGTCATAGCAAACTTTTCCCCATCTTTTGTTGTAATCTCTAATTTTCACTTCCTTCATAATTTTGAAAATTGCTTCATTTTACTTCCTGTTTTACTTCCTGTTTTACTTCCTGTTTTATTTTTACAGAAAGTCTTTATAGGACTGAGTTCTGTGAAAACTTGTTTTTTAAGGGGACTGTAGCTTCTCATGTGACTTTCTTTGTTTTTACTTCTCTTTTTTGTTCTCCCCCAAAAAGGAGGGGGTATGTAATCAGTCCCATTTGCTTATTTCCTTATTTGTTTGCCTGTCTGTCCATTTGTTTAGATGAAAATTGGGTCAAGGCCACACCAAATGCAAAAATCAGTAAAAACTTTATCTTACCTAGATATCACAACAATATACAGGGACATGAAAACTGACATAAGCATGCTATAATAAAACATTATAACATAAGATGACTTTACTGGACTGACCGTCCAATGTCTTAACATGCTACAAGGAACTGTAGCATGTTAAGACATTGGACGGTCCAATTGTTCATTGTCTCTTGTTGTTGTTTTTTTAAACAGATACAGGACCACAAGAACGATTCAGTCTTTATCGTATGCTCTGTCAAACAAGCACAATGTCTTGATTGAGTTCACTCATGCCTTATTATCCCTGTTCCTGTATATAGTCTGCGTCTTCTCCCTGAGTCCTTGTCAGATAGTTGTCTCTTCACCTCAGGTTCCTGCAGATTCTTGCTTTTGGTTTGTACTTGATGCTTTGAGTGTTGTTGTTTCAGCAAGATGAACTTCTACCAGCCTGCCTCCATCATGTCACCTACAGCTATCTGTGGCAGTAAAACCAAGAGGGCATCG